GTAGTTCCTCTAAACAGTAAAACATATAATTATTTTCTTAATATGTATTCTCTAAAATCCTATTTCTTTCTCAATTCCAAAGATAGTTATTAATTATAAATATTATACCAAAATAGTCTAATTAAAACACTAAAGTAATAATTTATTCATATCTAATTCACTTGGCTAAACTAATTTCACGATACTTTCTCCTATAAATAAGTCCAACATCACTTGATGTTAATCACTCCTCTAACAATTCTAGGTGAAAGAAAAATGGCCCAACAATTTAACTTTCTCCTCCTCTCATGTCTCTCAGTCATTGTTGTTGCTTCTTCTTTCTTTCATGTCTCCTCCGCAAGGAGTGGCTTGAGACATAATATTCTTGATAGTGAGCAGCCCATAAAAAATCCAAATGACCCTACAGTTGTGGGAATCGCAACATTTGCTGTGAATGAGCACAACAAGGAGTCTAAAAGCAACTTTCAACTTGTAAGAGTGATGGCAGGAGGAACTGATGTAATTCCTGACGGAACTGTTTATCAACTGGAAATCAGTGCTAGTGAATCAAATGTTATCACAACCCGACTTGTGGCTGTTTTGGTGCATCCTGACAATGCTAAAGAACTTCTTTCCTTTGAATGATTATCTTTTCTTATAGTTTAAGTGTACGATCATCTAGAAACGATTATATTCAAAGTATTTGTATGAAATAAACTATTCCAATTAAATATTTTATCTTGTTCTATTGATTCGTTTGGCCATATTAAAGATAGATGATAATTTTTTAATTTTGGTTAACTTGTATTAATCACATTGATATTTTACAAAATTAAACTCCAAATGTTCCAATTGTCTTTTGTCTCGAAATATATATCATATGTTATTTTTCGATTTGCTAATCCGTCCTTTGTATTGGGGAAATTGAGCAGAACTCCTTTTTTCATGAATCTTGAACTATGATTTGTGTGACAAAATAAAAAAAAGACAATGTTGTAAGCCTATGGCTAATAATTCATTCACGAATTATCACTTTTCTTATTAAAATTTTAAAGGCAGGGTACACACAAGGAAAGCTATTCCAGTCTTTAATAAGTTATCACTAGGAATATGTTTCGTCCAATAAATGACTTGGACTCTGTCACTTATTTTATTCTCATACAATTAATAATTTTTACAAGCAAAAAGTTAATCGTACAAACTAGAGAGGACTCTAAATTTTTTCAAAATATAAAAAATAATTATGTAAATGAAATGGCGTATACCTCATAGAAGTTTGTTAATATGTTGGGGTTGCTCCAGATAAAAATACCATTAATGGTGTTGGTGCGCTTTAGCACATGACAATCACCACTCAAATTGGATGTGGGAGGAACCAAAGGACCCTTACGTTTTCCTATCCATCTTCTTTTTGGAATGGGTCAATGAACAGAGAAGTTATCTTTCAAAAGTCAATTTTTTGAGGTTGCTAAACGATGACTAGTAACTTGCCCCAAATTAAATGGTAGAAATTAACTAATCCCTCCGTTCCAATTTACGTAAACCTGTTTGACTGGGCACGGAGCTTAAGGAAAGATGAAAATTTTTGGAATTTGTGGTTCAAAATAAGTCAAAAAGGGGTCCAGCATATTTGTGTTGTTATAAAAGTTTCTCATTAAGGGTAAAATTGTAAGTTTAAGCTAAGTTGTTACCAAATTTAGAAAGGGATCATTCTTTTTTGAACGGACCAAAAAGAAAATAGATTTACATTAACTGGAACAGAAAGAGTAGTACTTATAAAAATGGCATCCAAACTGACTACTTTTCTTGGTACGGTGGTACTGAGTTCGTCCCAAAGTCTTCCCTAAGGTCGGAGTGTGCTAATCAGAGTCCGGAACCAAAATGTGGTTCCTTTGGACTCAAAGTACACAAATAGGTGGGAAAAAAAGTTATATTTTTATGTATAACGCCACAATACCTGGCGCTATACATTAACGGTAACTGCACCGTTAATGTATAGCGCCAGGTATTGTGGCGCTATACTGCAAAAGCTGACACGGCGCAGGTATAACGCCATAATACCTGGCGCTATACTCTTTTTTCCTGGCCCCACCAATAATTCCTGAGTTCAATAATTCAAAAGCGTATAGTGCCAACTAGTTTGGCGCTATATATATAAAAAAAAAAACTTCCCGGCTAGCCATTTCCTATATAAAGAGGTTAGAATCATATAGAAATTCATTCAAAAAAAATTTAACTCTTGTTGAAACGTCTATTGTTGTTAAATTCTCCAGCAGTTTTTCATTATGTCTGAAGAGCGTAGGATAAGAGTTTCATTATATTGGGGGGGTGAGGTTGTGATGGAGAATAACTCCGTGGGCTACAGTTTACCTGCTAAGTGTCATGTTAAATTGCCACTTACAATGGAGTACGATACATTGATATCGTTGTTATGCAAAAAAATGAGTGTGAGGAAACGTTCAGTGATACTTAAAGTAACCGGAAGATATCCGTATTCCGTCACTCCACAAGGGGTTGCTTTTTACTCGGAGTTTAACATCGACGATGATGAAACTTTGAGTGATTTTCTGAGGACTCCGGACGAATGTCGGGAAGTTCTTGTAATCACAATGTTGGAGATGTACGTGAAGGTCGAAGACGTTCCAAAAAATGAGGTTGTGCGTAGTAGAGATAACCCCCAGTCATCGGGTGGTTATTCTGGAGCAATTTTTGCCGGACAGGTTCCGGATGAAAGAGTTTTCTTTGATTTAAACTTATCACCGCCGGTGAATGAGCAGCGAAAAAATAATTTATACCCTGCTTTCCATAACTCACAAGACGAGTGGTAAACTTCAATTTTCATTTGTGTTAATTATGTATATTTTTGTTGTATTGAATTTGTATTAACGCTCATATATTTAATAGGGGGTATCGGCCGGATATGAATTTTACAAGTGGCCCATCCGGTAGTCATCACATAATTGAAAACGTCCATCATGGAATTTCATCACATTACGACTTGTAAGTGAAGTGATATAGCCATATGGAAAGCATTTATTAATTCAGTAGCTTATATTTTTGTTGGTTGTGCAGTGAAAACGAGCAAGTTGAACTCACTCAATTGCCCGAAAATGACGTATTACATCGGGATCTGGAAGATGCACAGAGTGAGGAATAGAACAGTGATTACAATAACAATGCGGATGAATCCGGAGACGAGACACCCTTTCCTCGTGAGGATGGTGATGCGCAGGATGAGGAAGGACCTGGTTTGAAGAGAGACCTCCCTAGACGAAGAGTGTATGACTCGAAGTGTCGTTATATTCAAGAGAGATTCCTTTCATTGATAACTTGCCAACCGTGCCGGATGTGGAAGCTCTCACAAGGGATTTTGATGAAATCCGGACAGCAATGTGGGATGAGTCTAGACCAACGGTGCTTGCAAAGGGGATGCTTTTTCCTGATAAAGCGCGCCTAAGCAGGGCTTGTAAAATGCACAACGTAAAAGAGTGACATTAGATGCAGGTATGGGAGTCAAGTCCGACGGTATACAAGGTTGTTTGCCGCAAGTGGTTTTGGCCATGTAATTGGATGTTGCGTGCGACCAAGAAGAAGACAGGTATGTGGAAAGTGGGTAAATACATTCCCACCCACACATGCGAAATAGACACATTCAACGGGAATCACTTCAACTTGGATATTGACTTGATTTCTCTTGTTCTTATTCCACACATCGAACAGTCCATAAGGTATAAAATCAAAGAGTGCATTACAACAGTCCACAAGGAATATGGCCATACCATTACCAAAAGGAAGACATTTCTCGGGTGCAAACGAGCGTTTGAAATAGTCTATGGTAACTGGGATAAGTCATTTGCAGATGTACATGGCGCAAACAAGTTGAGTCATACTACTTAAGTCATTCTACATTTAATTTATTTTATCAAAATCTAATCTTACTTTTAATGAGAAAAAAAATGAAGCAAGAGATAATTGCCCCTTTTGTTAATAAAACTGTTCGCATATATGTGCAACTTTGTCCCCATTACAATCAAACTTTGTCTTCAACTAACACCCCAAGGAGATTCTTCGTGATTTCACAAACCTAGTGATTGGAAATTAAGTCTAGGCATATACACTCATTGTGGTCCTACAAGCATGTGACAGAAGAGGATGTATCGTTACTTGCCCGATATGTGTACTTGGACTGATAGCAGGTACTTTATAATTAAATACGTGCAAATTGTCCGGTCATCATAATTATTATAAAAAGAAAAAGATTGCTTCAACATCTGATCTAGATCAAGTGATCAACTAACTATTTATTTGATAACCGGTAATTGAGGTTAAGACTACTGTTGACGATAATATGTTTGTCAAAAATAGCATAGTAAAATAGTTAGAAATTTTAGTGCTATCTTAAAGTGATTGGAAAACAACACAGTTGATAAATAGCTGTCGATGTCATATGAACTATCCACTTGGTTCAACTAATTAATAATTACTCTGGAAATCTCTGAATTCATTCATCATGATTATTAATATTTGAACACTTGGTTATCCACTCATATAATAAACAAAGGCCACTACTGGTTGTGTCAATTTGAGCAGCTCGTCTGTTTTTCTTTTATTTACCTATTTTTCTGGTTGACCAAAAATAAATAAAATAACACTTAATTGATCATCCTAATGTGAGTTGGGAAATGAATCGCTATCTTTTTCATTATTCAGGTTATTAATTGTACTTATTATGAATAATTATCTTCTATTAGATCTCTTAATTAATTATAGTGTCACAATATAGAAGTTAATTTAGAGATGAAATAAGTCGAGAAACCGAACACACGCAAGAACACATACAGGAGATATATTTGTTAAATTCAGCTTCTGCTCATGAAAAATGGCACTAAGAATTTTCGACGGGTGCAAATTCAGCACCACTGATGAAAATACAGAGTACGTGAAACCAATATAGTACAAATTTACACTCAACCCCGAGAGAATTAGAAGGGGTTCCTTTATAGTCGCAGTTGATTCTAGCTATTCACTTGATTGCTGGATCTGCTCTTTCTCGAGCTTCGTGCATAGCAAGAGCTTAGTGCACCATATATATTATAAAGATCATAAACTCCTTGAGTTTCTCTATCTGAACATGGAAATCAGAGAGCAGAAATCATCTTCATCACAAGGAATAGTAATTCCCAAATCATGGCTAAAACCAAACTCTTCTTCAGCTCTTTGAAGCAAGCTTTGAAATCTTGGATGTGTCAACCAAGAAATTGGAACTATGTACCTACTCCTATTTTCTCCCACGTATACAACAAAATGGCCTTTTGGGACATCATGGGGGAAGCCATTCTCAATATTTTTTCCAAAACTAGAACATTTTTTGAGGATTTGTTTGAGGGCTGCTGTTTGAGTGATGTGTTTGCTTGTTTTCTTAATTAGAGCCATTTTCGGAGAGAATTGAAGGGCTTAGAAAAGAGTAGAAAATAGATCACCTGATAAGAAAGGGAAAAGTATTGTGTTTTGGGAAAAATGGGAATGACAAGAGTGTATTTATGGGGGAAATTGAAGTGGGAGAACAAATGCATGTGAGTGAAAGGGGACAAAGAAACTATACACAGTGGATGTTTATGTGGGGGTAGTCACTTGAATAGACCACTCACCTCTCTCTTAACCTCAAAACTCAAAAGTCCAACTCCTCTTTATTTATTTATTTGAATATTCTTTTGTTATTATTATATATATACATGTATATAAGAGGTCTTCTACGCGTATGAAATTACACTATTAAATCACATGCTATATAATTTTATTATACATTGCTTGTATAAAGATAGATTTACACGTTTTTCCATTAAATCTCATTTCCTAAATCTGCAATATTAATGTGAGAAAAACCCTTAGACTGAATGTTTAATGGATGGTCCTTTCATCCTTAGCCAAAGTTTTCAAGCTTTGAGCACCAAAAATAATAAAATTTCTACTAGGTAACACTTTCTAAATAGGTCTCATGCGACGCAAATTTAAATTAGACTAACCAATTGAGCTCCTAGCTAGCTCTACCCTGATGGGAAATCTGTTAAGATTCCCTCATGGTTCATGGAATTATTTCTTTGTGTGCCATATACTAGTTGATTTAACAAGATAACTTCAATCAGCATATGTGACCGTAACCCCCGGAATGATATACTATTATATACTGAAGCCAGAATTTAAAGCTTACAGATTTAATTGATATTTTAATATTTTTAAGTTATTGAGTGCCAAATTAATAATTTATAAATTCAATAAAAATTTTAAAATAAATATATGATTTGAATCACAACTATAAAATTCGGCCAACCTCATAACCTAAACTCTAGCTCTAGCTCTGTAAGTAAGTTCGCGTAATTCCAATGAGATTGTCATGGCACAAATAGACAGAAAAGAAGATGCAATAGTCTCTTTACATTGGGACGCGGCGGGGGCTTGTACGTTATTAATAAGGTTGAGACTAAGAGCATGCTTGGAAAGTCATTTTGATAATGGATTTGCGTGTAACTACACAGTTTGACATGTTTATTTGGTCAAGTAATTACTTGGTCGGTATGGAATTGGGTGTAATTGGAGGAATATAATTACACTCTCCAATTCTCAAGAGGAGGTGAGAATTGGTGGTAATTCACTGCGTAATTACAAGGTTGCTTTTTAGTTTCTTTCCTTTTTGTTTTTATTTTAATTTATTTTTATAACTTTTTATTTCTATTATTTTATTTTTTAAATTTTATGTTTACTTTTTAATTTCTTTTAAAAGTTTAAAATATATTTTTCTTTGTTCATTATTTATCTTTTATTTATCTACCTTTACTTCTTATGATTCCATGTAATTGCCTATATATTATTTTTTATTTATTTTATTATTCTATTTTATTGAAACTACACCTGCTAATATTAGAAATAATGAGTCATTAACAAACATGGCAATATGGCAAATAATGAATGATGCAATTAAAGTGGAATTTCATTGTTGAATGTGGTTATAAACTTATTATGTTTCCTAATCTTAAGTGGGTGGAACTTACTATTATTATGTTGGAATATGACATATGTTAAACTATTTTTTATTTTTTATTTTAACTTTAAAATTGTGTTATATTCATGGTTCCAATTTACTTGTATTAGTAATATTGACTCATATTGCATGTTATTCATTTTTTTAGTTAGAATTGATAGATTACTTTTGTCAAACAATTGAATAATGCTATGACATTATATTTATAAATATTAATTTATTTTAGCAAACATGAATTCCATGATGGTCTTTCATAATGTGTATTTTTAGTTTTTGTAAGTATCTATATAAATTTGAAATATATATATAAATTATTTTTATAATATTAGTTATAAATATTTGATTACTAATTAATGTATATTCACGAAAAATATACATCTTAAATACCAAATACAATATCATTTATACTTATAAAAATTTATATGCATATATTTATTATATTAATTTTTAAATTATGATAATTACTTTATGTAAAATTAAATTTAACTGTGTAATTACACTTGTGCAACCAAACAGTAAACTTGTAATTACACTGTAATTACACTATGACAAACAAATAAACAGGCCGTCCTAATTGTGTAATTACGAGGCTATGTAATTACTACCTTAGTAATTACACCAATTCCAATTACATAGTGGCTTTCCAAACAGACCCTAAAGGTGAAAACTAAAACTTCTCAATCAGATATTTATGGGATAACATGAAGTCTGAATATACAATTGTTTTAGATATATCATGCATAAACGTAAAAAAGTACAGTGGTATGTTTTGGAGTCCTTGAATTTTTGTATAAGCTAAAATTTTTGTAACTTTTTTATGGGTTAGAGGTATTGTAATTCCTTTCTTCTTCTTTTTGAATAGATTTTCTACGTAAAATTCTTGGCTTGTATTGCCTTTTTCATATTAAAGTTATTGTAACATTTTTTGCCCACATTAATTTTGCTTGAGTTTGCTTGCTCTTTCCGATTCAAATAAATTAAGAGGACTTTGATTGAACATTTATTTAGACTCGACATTGTCTTGTATTGTTTTGATGCTTTCTCTCCACTAGTAAATACATGTAACGGTTCTCAAAATTAACAAACCATTTATAGTCAGGTGAAATTCAAAACATAAAAAGTAAACACACAAAAAAAGTCAAAAGATACAAAATATATATATATATATATATATATATATATATATATATATATATATTACCTATTTACACAATATAATTTTTCAGTAAAAGAGTGTTAGTTGACGCCCCTCGAATAAGGATGGCTCCGCCCCTCCATATAATAATACTGGAGCGTTAGGCCGAAAAAAAAAAAAGTTAGCTCTAGTGAAAATGGCAACTTTGAGAAGACTAAGGAATGAGAAAATGTCGGTTGGACAAGTACTACTTTTGGTGATTCAAGTTCGTTAGATTTATGATGTTGATTTGATTACCTTTATGAAGTGGAACCTTATGGTTTATACTCATTAGAATGCCATTTTCCAGTTGATACGATATGTATCACTTTTCTATATGATTTGAGTACTGATGGATACCCCTGTGATATTAACAAAGTATAATTGTTACGAGTCGGTCGGTCGTTTCGAGAGTTATAGCCATGTTTCTCCATTTACTGCTTCTTTTTTGTTCTTCAGCTATATTATGATAACCGGGTTAGTTGGTTCGGGTTCGGAGTGGATTGAGACACATAGTCTCTTATTTGAAAGCTTAAGTTGAAAAAGTTGACCGCATGTTGACTTATGTGTAAACGACTTCGGATTTGAATTTTGATGGTTCTGTAAGCTCTGTTAGGTGATTTTGGACTTAGGTCCGGAATGTGAATTGGAGGTCCGTGGTAGAATTAGGCTTGAATTGGCGAAAGTTGGAATTTTGGTGATTTTGACCAGTAGTAAAGATTTTGATATCGGGGTCGGATTGGATTTCTAGAAGTTGGAGTAGGTTCGTGGGGTCATTTCTGACTTGTGTGCAAAATTTGAGGTCATTCGGGCGTGGTTTGATAGGTTTCGGCATCGTTTGTGGAATTCAGAAGTTTAGAAGTTCTTTAGGCTTGAATCCGAGTGTCGTTTGGTATTATAATGTTGCTTTGAGTGATTCGAAGGTTCGACTAAGTTCGTATGAGGTTATGGGACGTGTTGGTATGTTTGGTTGTGGTCCGAGGGCCTCGGGGTGATTTCGTAGTTATCGGATTGTTTTGAGTTGAAGAAGTGCAGCTGAAGCTGCTGGTTCTGGTGTAACCGCACCTGTGGAGTGGGAACCGCAGGTGCGAGCCCGCAGAAGCAAAGGAGGGGCCGCAGAAGCGGCCAAGGACAAGCTAGGAAGGAGTCGCAGGTGTGGGCAGCTGGGCGCAGGTGCGAGAGGTAGCCGTAGGTGTGATGGATTTTCGCACCTGCGATGGACGCAAATGCATTCTTTTTAAGTGAAATCCACACCTGCAATGGATTTTCTGTAGGTGCGGCTTCGCATAAGCGATAAATGGACCGCAGGTGCGCTATTGCTTGGCAGAAAACACCAGCTCGAGGTTTTTGTCTTTCATTCTCAATTTGGACTTGAGAAGCTCGGGAGAGAGGCGATTATTCGAGGAATTTCAAGGAAAACGTTGGGGTAAGTAATTCTAACCCGTCTTGGTCTAAATTTCGTGAATCCGTGGCTTTATTCATCATCTAATTAGGGATTTGAGCTAGAAATTTGGGGGTTTAGGGCTTGAGAATTGGATAGTGGATTTTGGTGATTTGAGTGACCAAATGAGGTCGGATTTTGATAAATTTGGTATGGTTAGACTCATGAGTGAATGGACTTTCGGGATTTGTGACTTTTATTGGATTTCGAGACGTGGGCCCGGGGGCCGAGTTTGAGTCGATTTCGGATTTTGACTATATTTTTTGTGGTTTTCTCATGGAATTGGTCCCTTTAGCCTATATTGATTGTATTGTATTGCTTGTGGCTAGATTCGGATCGTTTGGAGGATGATTTGAGAGGCAAAGGCATCGCGGAGAAGGATTTTGCTTGGCTAGAGATAAGTAACACTTCCAAACTTGATTTTGAGGGTTCGAAACCCAAATTATGCGCTATGTGATTGGTATTGAGTTGCGCACATGCCAAGTGACGGGCGTGCGGGTGTACACCGTGAGAATTGTGGCTTGGGTGAATCCATGGAACCGTTTAGTGACTCTATCCTGTTGGTATCCATATTTTCATCATGTGATAAAGTAATTGAGTTGTAAATCATGTTGCATATCATGTTTAGGCTTCACGCTAGTAATGTTGGGACTCTTAGTGGTCGTTTCTTGCTGCCCTCTCATTATTTTCATTAATATTCCGTACTTAGACATGTTCGTGCATTTTTATATCATATCTCAGTCTCGGTTAGTTATTGATTCATCATATCATTGTTCCGGGTTTGTTTTCATTACATTGTGAGCCCGTGGGTGAGACTGGAGAGATTGATGACTGAGTGAGGCCGAGAGCCTGGTTATGAGAGACAGTTATGGGATCGGGCTGCACGCCGCAGTGGTTATATTGATTATTATGATAGCCCTTGGGCTGCAGGAGCCCTTCCGGAGTCTGTAACAC